CTCAAATTCTTCAATTCAAATTCAAGTGAATTTTAGCTTTTTTTTCACATTTTCGCTTAGTAAATGCGGTGATAATTCACTTTGCAAAAAATACTCACATGCAATCACATGCAAGGTAAATAAAAAGAAAACAGTATTTTTGCTTGACCATGTTTGGATGATGGACGTCAGCTTCATCTCATTCACTAAGCTAAGGGAAAATCCCCTTGAAAAGTGAACAGCCTAAGTTCCTATAGTAAATTTACCCCTGTTTCTTGTGACAACATAGAGAATGGGAGAACACAGAGGAAATACATATTGTGTGAAGTCCAGAAGTGATTTTTTTTGTTAGATGTCTCATAAAGTAAAAAGACAACACGTTTCAGATGCACAAGAAGCTCTTCTTCAAATCCAGCAAATGCTGGAAAAAAGATGTAGTGGACTTGCTAATTCAGTGTATTCCTAAGGGGTATTTATCATATTACAGGATGAAGGTTTGCTCCAGACATCAATTTAATGGCTTTTTACAGACCTTTCAAAATTCAAGGGTCTTATTCAATCTTTTTAAATTGGCAGCTTTCATTGAAATAATGCTTCATCTCATTCATTTCATCTCTCTTTTTTTCAACACTTCCGGTTAAAGGATGACAACACTGTTCTTGTCTCTTTGTGTACTCTAGTATAATAACTCTTACACAGGCTTTCAGTGGGAACTACAAGTAGTCTTTTCAACACAGATTACACAGGAAAATCTTGCAAGCAAATATTCATATACAAAACTAATTTAGATATTATTTCAGCCAGTTAAAACAAAGGAATTCTAAGTAATATGCTTTTCCACGAGTGCTCTATGATAATCATATCTAGGAAAGACTTCAAATAAACTATGTAGCATTAAAGCAGGATGCACGGGACAAATGTGACCTGCATTGGCAAGGAGACAACGGGGGGATTTACTAAAATTGGAGCACTCAGAATCTGGTGCAGCTGTGCATATTAGCCAATCAGCTTCTAACCTCAGGTTGTTTAATTAGGCTATGGCAAAAAAAAAAAAATGGAAGTGGATTGGTTTCTATGCAGAGCTGCACCAGATGCTCCTCCTGTGCAAAATCACGTGTATATATACTTCCGCCATAGGGGGTACGCGCATGCCGGACGATTTGTGAGTCCCAGTGAATGGATGTTCGCCAGCACCCGCTGATCGTCAGGAAGGAGAGAGAACAGAGCTCTGCCTATGAAAACAAGGCAGAGCTCTGTTCTGACAGGTGGTTGACTGAAGGATCCTGGGTATCTGCAAAGCTGGGAACAGGATCCTTCAGTTCCTGTAGTAACAGCACCACCTAGTGTACACCATGCACACAGCTAGGCACACACATTAAACATTTGATTACCCTAAATGTTAACCCCTTCCCAACCAGTGTCATTTAGAACAGTGATCAGTGCATATGTTTAGCAATGATCACTGAATTAGTGTCACTGGTTCCCACAAAGTGTCAGTTACTGTAAAAATGTCTGCCGCAATGTCGCAGTCCTGCTATAAGTCACTGATTGCTGCCATTACTAGTATATAAAAAAAAGAAAAATTCTGTATATGTCCCTTAGTTTGTAGACGCTATAACTTTTATGGAAACTAATCAATATACACTTATTAAGATTTTTTTTACCAAAAATATGTAGGAGAATACATTTTGACCTAAATTTAAGAAGTTTGATTTTTTTTTTAAATTTTTATTGGTTATGTTATATAGAAGAAAATTAAAAAAAATGTTTTTTCAAAATTGTCAGTCTTATTTTTTTTGTTTTATAACGCAAAAAGTAAAAACCGCAGAGGTGATCAAATACCATCAAAAGAAAAGTCTATTTGTGGGAATAAAAAGACATAAATTTAATTTATATGCAGAGTTGCATGACAGTGAAATTGGAGACATGAGAAGAGGAGGATAAGAGCTGCTCTGGGCAAAACCATTGCATGGAGCAGGTAAGTATAAGTATAAATTGTCTTTACAATAGCGTTAACTGAACAAGGGAACTTTAATAGAATACATTTTGGCAACAAATTAGAATTCACACTTCTAAAGTTACATAAGTATGAGATGATTTCTGATTGGTTAACATAGGCTACTGTTGTTAAACAGTAGCTGTCTGTTGAATAATACCAATTAGCTTTGTCCTAAAAAGTGAAATGGTATCATTGACCAGGTTATTTTGGGGAATACAGTAAATACATAAGTTCTTGCTTACTTTTCCTGGTTATTATTATACATAAATTAATATATATAATAAAAACGTAGATTTGGTGAAGAGTAACCATGTTCTATATCTCTCTATAATGTCTAGACACAAAGTAGTGTCAAGAGTTGCAGTGAAAATCAGTTTTTGTACATTTTCTATGCAGTTTTCTGCAAAATGCATCAGAAATGGTATTACATGCCTCCCAGCTTATGAATCTCCATAGCTGAATATTTAGCAATGGCAGTGAAAATTTAAAAAGTTAAAAGTGAACACTGTGATCCTGCTTATGTAACAGATTTGATTTAAATAAAAACTGTGTTCATTTCAAAGATATAATCCTAAATAAACATGGTAAGCAAAATTCCAAAGGGCTGTTTCACACGGGTGGCCGTTAAAAACAGGCAGCTGAGCCACAGGTTTCCCCCCCCTCTCCCAGCCGCCCCTAAATTCTAACATTACAGTCAGACAGGGCTGTACACGTCATGGCTGCTGCAATTTTAACTTGGCCGGCAGAGTATAACAGGTGGCACCACCTGCCTAACTCGCCATTGAGATCAATGGGATCTTGCTGCAACCATGAGCCAAATGCTTTTTGGCTTGAGAAATTTAATAGAAAATCCCCTTTGGGATTAAAAAAAAAAAGACTGCCTCCTGAATGCTCAGCAGTCACTAATATACCACCCTCTGTGATTCAGTGCAGATTGCTTTCAGAGGGCAGCAGGCTCCTCTACCTGTGTGATAGAGCCCCAATGGTGCTGACATGTATGTTGTGATACATTGTAGAGATCCCCAACAATTCTTATAAGCAAAGTGTGACTTAATTTGCTAATGTGGTGCTTGCCCCTGCCCCTTCCCTTGGCCAATCATCATGACAGACATCTTCAGGAATGGAATTAGAGCTCCCCAGGCTTTGAGGACCTCAAGAAGCTTCATTATATACTATATGTGAACATACATTCAATCACTCTTAGATGCATGCATTTTATATCTGCTCAAGGTTTATTACACTGGCACATTAAAGTGGTAGTAAAGTCTTTTTTTTTATGTTTTTACCTACAGATAAGCCTTTAATAAGGCTTATCTGTAGGTACTGTAAATATCTCCTGAACGTGCACCATTTAGGATGATATTTACTTTAGCAGCGCGCTGGTGATGTCGCCAGCGCATACTCACTGCACTTTCAATGGACGACATGGCATCCATTGAGAGAGCCATGCCACGGCCGAGACTCCCACACACATGTGTGAGAGCAGGGGCGGACTGACTATTTGGAAACTCGGGCACTGCCCGAGGGCCCAGGGTCAGTAGGGGGCCCCAAGAGATGCCCCTGGTACCTTTTTCATTGGCTTTTTTGAGTTTGGGCAATGACACAGGGGCCCCATGATCCCCTATTGCCGGGGGCCCCATGAGTTGTCAGTCCGCCCCTGCGTGAGAGTGATGTTACCGTGGCTCGACCAGTCAAACAGCCACAGTTTGGGAAACCAGAAGGAAGATGGAAGCCTCAGGGAGCTGAGACAGTGTTCCGCTGGAGTGCTTTGTTTTCAGGTAAGTCTTTCACTACGTGCTAGTATGCAATGCATACTATTACACTATGAGCTTAACTTGCAGAGAGAAGTTTTTTAGATTTTTTTTTTTGCGATTTACTAAAAGTTTAAAATACCCCCATCTACTGAGTGAAATGCTTTCTATTTGCTAGAATATTTATTTATTGTAGCCACTAGAATTAATTTATGCACCCCTCTAAAAACACAGGTTTTGGGACATTTTTAATTATTCTCCTGAATGCTGCTCTAAAATACAAATCTAAACTTCACAATCTGCATGGGCATATTGGCAGAAATAGAACCGAGTTCAAAGACATATAAAAAAAAACCCTTAAAAATGCTTCTAAAAGTATTTTTTTCTGCTTGAGTGTATGAGGCTCTAACATGAGCCTGCAGTCCATGTTAAATCTTAAACGTATAATACTGCCTAGAAGAAAGGACAAGATGACAGTCATTACCTTCTGTACCATCTGTGTCCCTCTGTAATTCAGCTGCACTTTGTTCCTGGGACCTAACTTTCTCTTTCCCTGAAGAGGTTTTTCTATCTAACAGAGATAATATCAGTCATCTTGTGCTGCATCTGCTTTAAAACATATTTCTTCTTTTTCAGCCAAATTTGAGAAAACCCCACTGCAAGTGTTCACATTCACACAGCATGCCTGAAAAAAAAAAAAGAAAAAATATTTCTTAACTTTTCAAAGTTTTTCAGAAGGAGGTGTCCTGGCTCACTGCAAGGTTTTTTGAACAATGTTAAGCAGGCTGAATGAAAAAAATTGATCAATTTCCCCATCCATACATTCAAGGTGGATGGGGGAATCCTCCCGCTGAGCTATTGTATTCTGACACTGAGGAGAAAATCTGATTTTATTTATTTTTATTTATTTATTACAAGTACTTACAGTATATAGCGCCGTCAATTTACGAAGCACTTTACATATATATTGAACAGTCAGACTGCACAGGAGTCAATCAGTAGATCAACTTTTATAAAGCCTTCCTGCCCATACATGGAATGAAACTTGGCTGAATTTCGATCCATGTATGGCCGGCTTTGGAGTGAGTCTGTCCCAAATCTGTGGTCATTAAGTGGTTGTTACCCTTGCTAATTATACACTATTTTACCAAACGTATTGGGACACCCCTCCAAATTTTTGGATTCAGGTATTCCAATTACCTCCATGGCCACAGTTGTATAAAATCAAGCACCTAGGTATGCAGACTGCTTCTACAAACATTTGTGAAAGAATGGGGCACTCTCAGGAGATCAGTGAATTCAAGCGTGATACCGGAATAGGTTGCCACCTGTGCAACAAGTCCATCCGTGGAATTTCCTTGCTACTAAATATTCCACGGTCAACTGTTAGTGGTATTATAACAAAATGGTAGCAACTGAGAACAATAGCAACTCAGCCACAAAGTGGTAGGCCACGTAAAATTACAGAGAGCGGGTTATTAGCTAAAGACTTCCAAAATTCGTGTGGCTTTCAGATTAGCACAACAACAGTGCGTAGAGAGCTTCATGGAATTGGTTTGCATGGCAAAGCAGCTGCATCCAAGTCTTACATCACCAAGTGCAAGTGTCGGATGCAGTGGTGTAAAGCACGCCACCACTGCACTCTAGAGAAGTGGAGACGTGTTCTCTGGAGTGATGAATCATGCGTCTCTGTCTGGCAATCTGATGGACGGTTGGCAGGAGAAACAGTACTTGCCTGACTGCATTGTGCCAAGTTTATAGTTTGGTGGAGGGGGTATTATGGTGTGGGGTTGTTTTTTAGGAGTTGGGCTTATCCAGCGAAGGGAACTCTTAAGGCACCAGCATACAAAGACATTTTGGACAATTTCATGCTCCCAGCTGTGTGCAAACAGTTTGGGGATGGCTCCTTCCTGTTCCAACATGACAGGTACAGCAGTACACAAGATCCATAAAGCCATGAAGGAGTGAGTTTGGTGTGGAAGAACTTGACTGGCCTGCACAGAGTCCTGACCTCAACCCTATAGAACACCTTTGGGATGAATTAGAGCCGAGACTGCACGCCAGGCCTTCTCGTCTGACATCAGTGCCTGACCTCACAAATGTACTTCTGGAAGAATGGTCAAACATTCCAATGGACACACTCATAAGCCTTCCCAGAAGAGTTGAAGCTGTTATAGCTGCAAAGGGAGGGCCAACTCAATATTGAACCCTACAGACTAAGACTGGGATACCAATAAAGTTCATGTATGTGTAAAGGCAGGCGTCCCAATACTTTCTGCAATATAGTGTATTTTGTTAAAAAACACACTTGCCTTTGCTGTGTTTTGCAGCTGGGACTGCAGGTCATGTGATCACTGTCAGCTCCACAGTGATGCACGGGCCTACTTACATCAGAACTGGAAGTGACATTGCCGCCTAGCTTCTGTTTTTCCATAGAAATGGAACACAATTAGACTCGGCAGTAAACATCACCCAACCCCCCGTTCCTGATCCAATCAGCCCAATCCCCAACCAATCAGCTTCCAAGCTTTTTTTTATCAAAGCTTAATTGAACAAGCTAAAGTTAGAAGCTGATTGGCTACCATGCACAGCTGCACTAGATTCTGAGTGTACCAGTTTTAGTAAATCTCCCCCACAGTGTTCAAATCTAGTTACAAGTGATAATGAAGATCTTTCCTCATAGGAAGGACCAGAACATAGCATTCTAAAAGGTAAGCTGTAATTTAAAAAAATTTTCCCCTGATGACATCATCTCTGACGAAGTATGTTGGGTGGAGCCGGAAGCTGTGACGTGTGCACACATCACTGAGAATTCTGGGATATGTCATTGTAATGCCGTTTTGTCAAGCTCCATGTCTGTAGGTGTTTTTAACTGGTTTCTTTTTAAATCCCTTACATGTTTAATGCCTGGATCCTGCTGAGGGCTGTAGAGAGGAACCACTCTGAAGCGATATATCACCCTATGGACTACTGAGCTGTGGTGTACCCAGTATAACAAGAACTGTTTGTGATTTCTCTTATTAGGGTCACATGCACTCTGGTAAGCCAGAGTAATTCTTGGTGGAAGACATGGTGTTTGCAGTGAGTCTTCCGTTCTCACTGAAGAAGCTTTGTCACTGAGAATTTGTGTTATATTCACCAGAGAATTCTACTGTTGATGCTATGAACTTTCACATTATTTGCATTTTTTTTAGATTGCTTGTTATTTATTCGCCAATTGATAATGAAGCACTGCACTTATTGATTATAGTATATATTGCAGTTTACCAATCCTCAAATGTGATTAGTTTTCTTTCTTTTGGTTTTATTTCTGTTTTATTTTCACCTGGTGATCTGGCCAATAACACTTCCTGTATTAGGCATTTTAAAGCCACTGGAGGAGCAAAAGAGACACCTTTAGACAGCAGCATTGTCAGTCTGGGAAGAGGATGGTTTTAGAAGCCCTAGCAGACTGAGATGTATAATAATAATAGATGGAGTTGACTAGCAAATTAAAGCTGAACTGCAGGTTTAAGTTTTTTTAAGTTATGGGATCATTTTTTTCCTTTTGTTATAAAGGCTTTACAGAAATAAATAGAAAAAATAAAAGCTGATCATTGTAAGCTCGCCTCTCAAAGTGGTAAATGGTTTGTCTCAACCCACTAACTGCCACTTTTGCTGGACAACTTGGTCATTCTTAAGCACCTCTGTCAGTGGTAAATAGTTTGTCTCAACCCTCTAACTGTCACTTTTGCTGCACAACTTGATCTTTTAAAAAAAGTTTTTAAAAAAAACAGACTTACTGGTTGGATCACTGGTTGGATCACCAAGCAAAAATAAAGGAAAAAAAACCTAAAAAAGAAAAATAATGCAGTCACCACAGATTGGTAAACTGCAATGTAATATAAGTTTGTTTTTGGGTTTAATAGTGCTTTAAGTTCTACTTAGCATTTAGCATTTTGTGCTGTGCAACAAAGAGACTGAGCGTAGAGGTGTACAAAAATATCTGCCTTTGAAGTATAGGGATAAAATCTGTGTTTTATGTGTCAGCACTGCAGCTTGGAATCTGAAGGAAAAAAAATACATTTTGAATGCTTTAGTCAGTGATTACATTGTTTCGGGCAGAGTGTTCTCATCCCTTGGTGACAGCTGTACTTTGAAAGCATTCTCTCGGCTGGTCGTAGGCACGCTGGTAACTCATAACAACTTGTGCAAATATCACAGGAGTCCTTTACAGAGCACCTTCCACTAAAAACTTACGTAGAAAAGAAAAACGATGCTCTTTATTTAAAGGAAACCCGTCATGTCAGAAGTATAAACTGCCAATGCTGACCTCTCCTACACTGACCCGACTCTCTTGCTGCAATACAAACATGTATGACTTCTTCTGATCTACTTAATTGTTCCAGACTTAGTGACTCAGAAGGAATTGGGGCTATTAACAGCTAAGCAACTAGCCTATTCTGAAGCAGGTTGGTAATGGCAGGTTCTTCATTTCTCATATGGCAGGTTTAATTTCCTACTTAACCTACTGGTATGTTTTTATTGCATGACCCAGCTGGAGTCTATAAAGGGGATTTATAAAAGATTTTACCAACAGAATCAAGTGCAAAGTATGACTGTTTTGCAAATGCTAAGACCTCATTCACACAGGCAATAAAAAAAAAAAAAAGTGGTTCAGCCACATTTTTAGAGCCCTCCGATCGCCTACCTGTAGTGGAACATAGTGACCATTCAGATAAGTATGCATTGCTGAAGCTGCAATGCCTGGGGCCACAGTGAGGCAATTTTAACATTGTAGACAGACTTTGGCAAGTAGTGCAGATTACCAAACTTGCCTAATGAAGTCAGACCATTCCGCAACCATGAACCATCGCTTGACTTGCACAGTGGTAGTTCACTACAAATCCTGTGTGGCTGTAAAATAAAAAAAAAGGATTCAGGCAGTGGTAGTATCACCTCCTGAATTCCTGCAAACCACCATTGAAAAGCACTCTACCATGAACTGCTTCTTAGAGGAGAGGTAGAGGCAGCTGCTGGTGCCTAAAACAGATCTAGCATGGTATTTGTGAACATTTTTCATTTAAGATACTATTTTTCACTTACGATACTAATACATTTGAGCAGTGTGTGTGTGTGTGGGGGTGTTAATCACGTTATAAAAAATTCTATCTCGTAAATGTCACTGTTCCTGTTTTGTATTCCCTTGCGGTGTGGTAAGATTTATTAACCTTGTTTCCCTCCATAATTGTATAGAAGGCACCTCCATGTTGGCCTTGCTAGGGTGTTGAAAGACTTTTGTATTTAGATCCTTAAAGAAGTCTTAGTAGCTTTGAAAAATGAAATGCTCATTTATGGATTCATTTGGAAATACCTGTCATTGTTTTGTCAAAGAAACACTTTTTCAAGCACCGCTTTATGCATTGATATAACTCCTTTAGACCTTGGTCCTTCTGGCCGGTATGGTCACCTGCCAAAAAAGCATCCTCCACAAATGATAAAACTCTCCAATAAGACATTTTGGCCGGAGCAGCAATTCAAAATCATGCATCATGCTTATATGCCTTGTTTGTACACACGAACAGACTCCTCAGTTTCTTCCTGCCCACTCTGTGGAACTCACAGGTCGTTACTACACCATAGATTTTTGCTCTGCCCACCGGTCTCTATCTTCTGGAACCAACTTTTGAATTTCATACTCTTCATCATTACTCTTCAGTTACCTAAAGACCCGCTGCTCCTTCTCTTTGGCAACTTGGAAGCTTCCCTGTCCATTACTTCACACACGCAACTTGCGTTGTTCAGAGCTGCCAAACCGTGGCTTTATTTCCCACATTGGAGCCTCAGTCCTCCTCCCAAGATCACTAATTTTTTAGGCACAGGCTTTTACTGTGCTCCCTTGAGACTACTCCTATACTATTACTAAGCTCTACCTTTGTAATGGACCGCCTGACAGCACCTCTATCAATCCCCTGGCAGAGCCTCCCCAGAGTGCGGAGTCTAAGCACCGTAGCACTTGTTCACCAGGGCCCCTGATGGTGGGGATGGACTTGGAGCGCTCCGGTACCAGGTCGCAGCTGCTAGGTATCTCCAACAGGGGTAGAGGAGTCTGACAGGAGCTCCAGGGGGCAAGAGTCTGATGTGAGGGAGCCTAGTGATCCCTGCGGGATGGATGGATGAGCTAAATCAGAGTCATACAGGCCGGGTCGGTAACTAGCGGGTCGGTGAGGTACAAAACGGTAGGCAAAGGATAGTCGGGTCGCACGCAGGGTCAATACCAAAAGATCAGATTTAAAGGGGAACATCCAGGAGCAGAGTCAGGCAGGCCAAGGGTCAGGACAGGAGAAGGCAGCAAGGTCAAACAATCCAGATCAAGATACTCACAACACAGGTAACAGCATACAAAGACCAATCGGCAACAAGTGTTTGTGCAGGGCTGTTTTAAATAGCCCGCCCTGCACCTGACAGGTGCAGCCTAGTGCCTGCCTAGTACTGTCAAGACGACGGGTGCGCCTGGGTCCTAGTGCCCTGCCACCTACACGTCTTGGCACACACCTACACCTGTGTAGACCCATGCGTCGCGATGGTCCCTGACAACCTTCTTTTCACCTTTGCGCTTTACCCTTTTATCCTCTTCCACTCCTTTCTACTGACATTTGGTGAAGAGCTCTTTTACTGTCACACCCTTACATATACCGCTGCCTTGTATCCTAATGTCATAATCTCTGTAACGTGACATGGTTTCTCAGTCTTATAGCCTTTGACCTCCGGAAACATAACTTTATGTCCTCCGTTTCTTTTTCTGATTCTATCTCCTTTTCTATGCTGGATCCCCCAGCTCTTTGATCTTTCTTTCTCTCTGATCTATTCCTATCTTATTTTCTCTCTTTTCTTTTCGATCTTTTATTCATATACACGACTATCAACCTCT